AATTGGTGGCTGACTAAATACTTTTTTACCCCACTGTATATCTAGACAGCTTGACAGATATTCATGAGATCTGAATGGAAAAACATTACCATACAAAAAGAGAAATAAATTTTCTTCACATGATTATATTTGATCCATTTTAATACACAAGCATATCAATTAATGGCTGATTTTCTACTGGCCACCTGCAATTTCTGAAATTTGCTAGCAAATCTGAGAAACTGAATGTAAATTTTATATCCAGGCTACAGTGAACTTCAAACTTTCCTTGTAAATGATAAGGATATAATCATGCAGCTACAGATATATTGGAATATCCTCATATTCCACCAGCCTCTATAAAGGCATGTACTATACCTATACTCTACAAGATAATACCCACAGGGAAATATATTTTCATTCTCCCTGCTCTGTGATATAATTGCTCTTCAGAGATCCATCACATTCTTTGAACACTTATTGTATTATTGTTACTATAAAGAACACTTCTTACCAGCACACGAAGGGAAGATGATCTCACATGCCTATTAATTTCATCAACCCACTGGTGGCAGATTGAACTTGGAGAGATGATGAGAGTTGCTCCTGTAGGAACTGGTTTCATTGCTACAAGGCAATGGGGACAGTAAAAGGGCTTGATCTTAAGATTTTCTTCTTTATAATTCACACACTCAGCATGCTGCCACAGGTGACAGTTCAGGCATTGCACGCGAGCTTTATAGTCAACCAAGCCAAGCTCACCGCAGATGCATTCAAAGCGGTAATCAGAGGTGTTGAATGGAAAAATAGAACCAGGGTGTTGTTTAAAGATGCTAGTGTGTTCTTGACAGACTGAGGACTGGTCTTCTAAGATATCCTGCATCTCTTCAGTTTCATCATTTTTAGGTACAGCAACACTACAGCATATCCCATCTTTGGCTACAAGCACATTGTCAGTTGGTCTACACTGAGAATCTTCTTTAGTTTTCCAACTCTCAGAATCCAGGTTTGATTCACTAATATCTTTCTTTGTTGCACAGTAATCATGCTCTTCTGCTGTAATGTCTACCGCCTGAGGTAACTTTAGAACATTTGTAGAACATGCATCCTTATCATCCAATTCTTTGATTTCTGTGTTATGGTCTGGCAAAATTTTCTTCTGAGACCTATTTGAAGTTTGCATTTTCTATAAAAATAAAAGAAACTAAACTTAATTTTCCTAGTACTAATTCCTAATTCTCTGAAGTTATGAGGAAGAGAGAGCTGGAAAACATGCACTCTGCATGCTGTATTCTAGCCTTCCCCAATCTGACACCCTCTAAATGTGTTGAGACTGTAATTCACAGAATTCTCACCAGCACAGAAATTCTGGGAGTTCTTGCCTCACACATCTGAAGGACACAAGCTGGAGAGGGCTTGTATCACTTGTGTCAGCCACTATCTCCTAACCTTTATACAATACCAAGTGGGGATAGGAGATGGTACCAGAGGAGGAGGAGCTAGAACATACATCTTTATAGTATTGAGTACGCTTGGCAATCTCCAAGCTGACTTTTTTAAAGCATACAACTATCAACTTTCAGTTTCCTTTCCTTCCTCAAAACTATTAACTTTACACTTGATACATAATTTTCCCTTTATAATATCAATTTATAATAATTGGGATTTGTACCCAATTCTATTTTGTCAAAATTATGTACAATTATGTCGATGTATTTAAAGGATCAGGGATAATTAAGAAGATACCTTACTACAAACTTCATGACTATTTAAAAGAAGTCATGAATGGGAATGGGAAGTCTAGAAAGATTTTCTAAAAGGTTAGACCTATTTAAGTATTAAATTCTTTAACTGAACCTACAAGCCCAAGTCGTATCAAGGAGGCCTACCCATAACCATTATGCACATCATGTAACCCTTTCCCCTATATCTGCAAGTACATCTTGAATACCTACATGGAAGAAGGCTGGGTTTCTGCACTACTGGAAGGCATAGAATTGTACACACAAATCTACAGATGTCTGCACTATTTTAAACATGATATAACAATGATGCAGAAGTATTCATCATATGTAAAGTTAATTTTTAAATAAATGACTTATGTTCCCATAGGAATTCTCTTAATTCCTATTCAATGGATATAGCAGCCATTCTTTTTCTCCCTTCCCCAAATATGCTTCATTATAATAGAGAACATGTACTTAAATAATCCTAAAAAATCCTTTTTCTTCCAGCTCACCTGTTTTTTGGACCTATTACAAAACATCTGTTCCTTGTAGTTTCTGCCCAACTTGAAAGAGCCAGCAAGACCATGGCCTTTGACCTGCTCTACTACCTTCTCTGCAATTAATTTTTCCAAAGTTCTTTTAAGAATCCGACGGTTTCTCTGAACATCATATTTATATATGGCATGGACATACTTAAAAATTGCAACAATGGATGCTCCCTTCTTCACATTCATTTCTTTTATAGCTGTTAAAAGCATCACTCGCAAACCTATATGAAGAATAAATAATTTTAATTAAAGCTGTGAAAAAAGATTGCAAAGTAATTTTAAGATTTTACTATAATTTTACTATAACTTGGTTATAGTAACCAAGCCATAAGGCTCTAGCTTAATTTTTTTGTTACTAATTTGCAGATGTAATCTTTTCCGCCAAACAATTTTAAATCATTTTTTTAATTTCTTACTAATATACAGCACTTTAATTCTCCAATCATAATTCTTCAATTACCACATGTAACCAAAGTATGAGTAGTCTTCATATAGAAAGCATCATATACTTAATAATAAAACAGATCAACAAACAGCAGCAAAAACTTGAAATTTCCCTTAGTTTCTGTGTAAGACAAAAAGAACTCTTCATTATAAACTAAGTATTTAATGTGATGTGAAGGCACAGGTTTTCAAACAATATACAGTAATTAACATAATTCCATAATGTGATTTTAAGATGTCTGAATAGGTTTTCTCCTCCATATTTTGACTGGTATATTAAAATAATATATATTGTATACTATATATCTATATATTCATATATAGATATTGCTATTGTGTTGTTTCTACTTTACTGAGAAATTCCAAATAGCTCTCAATTACTTGAGACTGTCATTCATTTTATAGTCAAATTCTTCTGCATGTTGTTGTAAATGACTCCTTTGCCTATCAGTTTATATATTACACCTGCTCCTAAGTGTATACAGTAGCAGGAATTTGAAGCAAAGACTACATGAATACAGTGCAGTATTGTGATACTGGCCTAGTACAAAGAGCTGTGCAAAGAACTTTTTAAATTTTTTACTTTCCAGAGCATCTCTCACACTTTCATTCCTATTCAAGATTAAAAATTATCTCCAAACCACATTTGTCATCAGTATAAATGCTGTGGGGCTTGCAAGAACCACACATGCACTAGGGAAAATCTTCTAGCAATGATTGGAAAAATTAAGGACTGGAAAAAATTCAAACAGAGAGCTCTATCTTGAAAATTCATTAACATTAATGAATAGAAACCAACTGCACATTAAACAAGTTTGGCAGTTTTAAAACTTTTTTTTCCATATAGCTATCAGATCTGAGAAAAATGCAAGTTTTATTGATTTAATAAGTGAAGAACTGTCTGGAGGAAATAAAACGATATTAGGAATTTGATAGTTTTAGTTTTTAATGATTATCAATACTACAAACTTGTACTTTGTTTGTTGTACTTTGAACATATTGTGAGAGATAGTATTATCAGTACAGTACCTTAAATAAGTAAAAAAGTGAATCCTGGGATTTAAGGCATTAGCTTTGACAATATATGCATACAAAGAAACTTCAGCACTAACTTTTTTCTCTAGAAAGCTGTTTTTTCTTACTGCTGGTTATGCAAATGATACCTGCTGAAAAATACTTACTGGGATACTGAACTTTTTCCTTCAATGTAAATTCCATTTTCATTATGTTTTTCTTTTTACTTCCTTCAGTAGGTTGAGGTGGAACAAAGAAGTTTACTAAAAACCCCTGAGATATAATTTTAACATCATTATGTCATAGTCTACCTAATAATGAACAAATGTTAGGCATGACAAAAATATCTGTATATTTAATTAAGGTCCACCAGTTTTACCAAAACATGTAAGAATTTAGGTGGAAACTTTAACAATCGTTAGAACAATTCAATGTCAAACAATAACATTTTTATTAACACTGTAGAATTAAGACTACAGAAAGAAATTGTAAGCATTAAACATTATTTTCTGAAAACAGAATTTAGAAATACTGACCTTTTCACCAACTTAAATATATTTCATACTTGTTTATTCATGGGATTCTGTTTCAATTGAACCATGAATAACAAGTCTGTAAAGTCTGTGCTTATGTGAAAAAGCTTGTCAGCCATTTTGTGCATGCATAAGACACACAAAGAACACTCTAGAGCAGAGCTACATGGCAAAAACCACAGAATGCTTTATCACAGACAAGATCTGCCCTGTGTTTTCCAACTGTAGATATGAGAAACTGTAGATAACAAGGGCCATCTGTAGTTGATATCATAATTATTATATTACTGTAATAATAAAAGGAAGCAATCTAAGGCAAAAATAAGGCAAAATGCACACATAAGAAACTATCACTTATCTCATAAAACTGTAATTTTTTAAAAAAATTAAAAAATCAAAAAGACACCAAATACAAACATAAAAGCAGGCCTACTGGATCACAGCAACAGTACATCTAATTCAGTATTCTGTTTTCAAGAGTGACCACACGACACCTCTTCTCTTGTCTATACTCCAGCAATAGATTTATTTATTTATCTATTGTATTTATATAGCTGCCCATCTCACATAAAGTTATAGATGTATTCTGTCTCTGCACAAGCAAATTTTATTTAGCTATCATAGCTAATGGCTATTAGTAAACCTATCTACAAATTGGTCAAATTACTGAGCTTCAAATCCTGTAGGCTGGTAAGCATCATAACAGTTTGCAACACATTTCGAATTTAATTGTGTCATGAATAATCCAAGAATAAAGAGAGGAAAAATGTTATATTTGGACTATCATATCCTTCCTAGTTAACCTGATATTTTTAACAAAATAATTTTATAATTTTTAGTTGGTAACTTTAACTTTTCTCCAGGGTAAAGAAATATTGCTGTAATCCTGCCAATTTTGTTGTTGTTTCTGCACATTTTCAATATAAAAATAATCAGACACATTATTAAAATGCAGCTACACAGATTTATGTAATAGCACAATGATATAGAGCAGACTGATTTTAAACAACTTTCTTCATAAAACCTAGTATGCATTTTTTGCGTGCACTACTGATGCCCAAAAGTGGCATTTTCATTATGCTGCCAATCACAGCCCAAGCCTTTAGTTCTGAAGCTGTAAATGTATACATGTGTATATGTGTATAAGTGCACACCTTTAGCTTTTTTCCCCCTTCCCCAATAACAATGTTGTTTTCTATCCTGATGAATGTCTTTAAGAGCACTACGCAGCCTGCTTGCATGTTCATTTCTTTTCAATCTACATGAGACACTGGTACTTCACTGCCCCCTAAGCCCTTCACCGTCTATCACAGTGTTTGGTCACCTTTTCAGCCTCCTCTCCTGGAAACACCATGCACCCTCACACACTGTTCCAGGCATTAAAAAATACTGCAGTTTCACACAAAATTCTGGTGATTTTAAAATTATTTTATTTATGGGGTTCAGCATTTAGTCTGGAGTTTGTCAATCCTCAGATTAAAGAAACATTTGTTCATAAATTCAACAGGCATAGATGTTGATAACATTATTTATATAATACCAATTCAAATATGGTTTTAAAAATTATTCCTTCATTCTCTATTATGCAAGCTACTCACTAAGGTCTATTTTATGTCCTGTTCTTTAGCCAGTTAATGATCCATATAAATATACATCTGGTTATTTCAGGACTCAACATTTCTATCTGAGTCTCGAATGCTGAAAGTATTAGTTTAATTGTTTATTTAACTAATTATCAGTAATTATTCTGATTATTTACTAAAAGATTTTTGGAGATCAAATACACATTACAAAAATGATACTTAAGAATGAAGATTGATTGTTATGAATCATGTACAAACACTACAAATAGTGCTTTACGTTGTAATATAACTTTCTATTTCAATTCAATTTTTCTAGCATATTAGATTCACAACTGAATCTTATGTCTTGATACTAATGATAAAAAAAATAAAAAGATCACAGAAAATTGTTTTACAAACTTCAAAGAAAAGAGATTTAGGAGAAATATTTGCTTACATGTTCCAAATATAACTTCCAATTACAATTAATGGACTGAATCAGCTTTTGAATATTGATACTGTTTTCATCCACTCACACTATAGGTTTCTCACCTCTGGTAACATCAGAGCATCTTGTCTGACATCCTTACGAGTGTGTGTCAAAATAAGAGCCAAGACTTCTACTGTTTTTCCAAGGCCCATCTCATCTGCTAATATGCCACCAGGCCACCGAGGCCCAGCAACAGGTCGATCACGAATCACACTGCAAATAAAAAATTATGGGTTTTCGTTACAAGTTCAACTGAACTACTGAATTCAATATATAGAATTCTAAACATGTATCAGCTATACTCAATATTTCAAAACTCGTTCAATGGGACTTCTTGTTCTGCTCCATCTGCCCCCCACCATGCCCTCAAAATATACATCAAGGATTCCTCAAATCCTATAGAACAGATGTGAAGGAAATAATTCTACTGAGAAACATAATTCAGAAGATTTACATAATTGCATAAAATCCTATATAATTGCATAAAATACTTTATTAAGCATACGTTTTTCAGTTTCCAATAACTGTGATTTCTGCAGAACAAAATTAATTCATGAAATTATTTTAATCCTAGTGTCTTCTCACCTATTTATACTATACACAATCTATACAACCCAATACCTATTAAATAAAGATTTTCCATATATATGAAAGGCAGATAAAGGCAAATATTCTCAATTCATTTTTTTTTTTCCAGTCAGAAGAATTTAAAAGAAGCTACACTGCATTTTTGGAGTTCAATTCAAGGAAAGAAATCATACAGAAACTAAGACATTTTCTTGCAGAAAGGGCTTAAATGTGATCATTGTTTCAATGTTATGCTTTTGGACATAATACTAAAACAATCCATCCTTACCAGCCAGTAAAAGGATTATAGTAGAGCTTTAGTCCATCTAGAGTACTAAACTCTCTCCATAAATAGTGGAGGGCATTTTCTGATGAAAGAAAAGAATAAATAAGACAATGAGATTCATTGAACTCCTCATTTCTTCTCATCTCCTCAAACTTGAAAGTTCAAATTGAAGCTCCTAGGATTCTGTGGAACAATTCTGTGGAACAATTTTAGCTAAATGAGTACAGGGGTCCTTAGGTTAAGAACACCCAGTTTAAGAACAACTTATAGTTAAGAAAAGAGCCTACTATAGCAAAATTCAAGTTAAATACACAATGATTCAAATTAAACACATAATGGTTCAAGTTAATTACACAATACTACTTATACATTATTATACAACAATACTGTTCTGGCTTACATACAAATTTGACTTATGGACAGACCTTGGGAACGAAACTCATTCTTAAACTGGGGACTACCCGTACTTGGTATAAAAATACAGGTAGTCCTCACTTACTGACCACAATTGGGACTGGCAATTCTGTTGCTAAGGAACACATTCATAAAGTGAAATGTCAGTGACCACACCAACTTATAATATCAACTCCAGCTACGGTCATTAAGCGAATCACCTGCAACTGTTAAGCGCAACAGCATGTGATCGCAACTTGCGACTTCCTGCCAGTTTCCCCACTGACTTTGTCAGAAGCCAGCTATGAAGGTCACAAATGGCAATCACATGATCACAGGATGCTGTGACTGTTGTAAATCCTTGACTGTTGCCAAGCACCCAAATTGCGATCACATGACCGTGGGGATGCTGCAACAGCCGCAACTTCAAGGACCAGTCATAAATATCCTTTTTCAGTGCTGTTGTAACTTCTAACAGTCACTGAACGAACAGTTGATAAGCAAGGACTACCTGTATAGAAGTTTCATAATGTTGCATTTATTTATTTAATCAACTTATATAGCTGCCAATCTCAAATACATGACTCAGGGAGGCTTACAATATTAGAATAAATAAAAATGCAAATATGTACAAAAAATAAAACACATAGCAGTCAGGGAAAATTATAAAAGACAGCCATTAACACACCCAGGAGATGGGCTCTGTCATATACTGGGGGCCCCAGGCTTGGGCATAGAATCAGGTCTCCTGTGACATAGATACTATTTTTATGATAAGGTATGAGAAACCTGCATTCCTTCAGCTGCTGGGAATTCTGCTGAATACAGAGAGATCTTCAAAAGCAAAGATCCTGTCATGCAATCAGCCAGTCTGCCAAAGGGTAAGACTCAAAGCAGCACAGGGACAATTTATTTTATAAAATATAAACATACATTACTAGTTGCTGCTAGAAGAATGGTGTATTATCTCAAACTAAGAGGTAGCTAAAAAGTATGTGTACCACAGGCAGCTTCAGAAAATTCTAATACTCAGTACTGGGAGATTTATGAACCCTTGGGAACCTGAAACAGCTGACTAAGTGCATCCCCTCCCCCACAGTATAAAAATATTCCATAAACACTCTCCTTATAATGTATGTATTTCTGAAACCATTTGGGATCCCTTTGACTGGCTATTCTTAACTAGAGGCTGCCATAGGTTGGTAAGGTGGGGGGTACTTGTTAGAAACAAATGCTAGATTAGAATGTCACTATTGAGGCAATGTCTGAGGACTACTTATCTAATATACAACACATTTTATATGTTAATATTTCTATTGATCTAATATACAAACTAGCCATTGTATTTGCTGATATTTCTACAGTTTCTAAAGATGTCTTTAAGCCACATTAGCCAAAAGAAGGAACTGGCAACTCCCTCATAACAAGTATGTCATCATGTATTCTACCATTAATGTGTTCAATATATACATTCATGTTACTATTTTGAGATACTTACCATTGGTAGGTATATTTCTAAAGTTCTCACGTTGCAGCATCCAATTTACAGCCTCACTTTGATATGGCCTAAGTACAGGAATCAATGCAGAATGTTGTACATTCTCCTTTAAAAACTTTATCTCTTTTTGGTGTACATGCCTCACATAGTCATACAGCTCTTCAATATTTTGACGTTCTATATCCCTGTCAGACTCCTCATCTTCTTCCAGAATGTCTAAAAAGATGTACAGTGCTATTGACTATCAGTAATATCAGAAATATTTTTAAAGTAACGTAAGAAATAAAAAGTTGAAAAAAGTACCTGAGTAATCTAGTGCATCAATGCTTCCAAGCTTTTGAAGGGGGATAAGAAAACAACTCCCTCAAAATACGGAGATATGAACAAATGTCTGATGAAAGAATAATGTGAATTGACTATAAGAAATATACAGTGGTGTTTAAAAGTTTGTGAACCCGTTTGAATATTGAATTGTCAATAATTCTGCATAAATATGACCTAAAATGTAATCTGTTTTCCACACAAGTCCTAAAACTAGATAAAGAAAACCCAATTAAACAAATAAGTCAAAAACATTATACCTGTTCATTTCTTGTTCATATACTTATTGAGTATTATTTATTGAGGAAAATGATCCAAAGTTTAATTATGCAGAAATATTGAAAATTCAAACAAAGGGAAGGATGTAAGAGACGTGAACTAAGGTGCCTGACCTTGTGGAGTGGAACTGATGAATACATGCAGGGAACTGAAACAGCAGGTTTCATTAGAAATGAAAGGGTTAAAATGTATGTCAGAAAGTATAAATTGGTGTCATCTATGTTACTATGGGTCCATATGAAACTAGGTGATACATTCCAGTGAACATTGAGATGAGTTTGAGGGAAAATTGTACAAATGAATGCAATCCATTCAGTTAAGTGACATGAATGGGAGATGGGAACAAAATAAGAAAAGCTCTGTGGCAAGTTATCTGCCCAGAAAGAGAGATGTTTTTAATAAGTAGTGTAAGCATAGGTCTATTTGTACATACACATGGTAAAGGAATGAATATAAATCTAAAAACATAACTGATTTGACTGCAATAAAAAGTGACATAATAAAGGATACAAAAATGATGAGATGGCCTGAAATAAAGTACCATTTAGTAGTGTTAAAAATGGATCTTGGAAAAAATGGATGTGGAAGACAAAAAAAATGAAAGCAATGAGAATGAAAATAGAACAAGTGCAGAAAGTACAAATCCTGTATGAAAAAGTATGACAAGACAGATTAATCTCCCAGCAAAATGGACATTGGAAAATGTGGAAGATATGAAAGTAGAATGAAAAGAATTTTGATTCAGAGTGCTACATTAAGTATGTTGAGATATTCTAATGGGAAGTATAAAAAAGCAAGCTTGGTGAAATGATAAAGTGAAAGAACCCAGGATAAGAAAAAAATGCATATAAGAAAATGATTGTTGCAAAAACTGAGGATGAGAGAAAGCTCCTGCATATGGTATCCAGACAGAAAAAGACATTGCAAAGAACAAGAGAACAGCTTAAACAGGCAGAGAAAATGGAGAGCAATGTTAATGGAAATAAAAAAATATATTTTTCAATTAGATAAAGAAGATTAAACAGAGTGAATGAAATTAAAAATAAAAGTGATAAATGATCTGGGATTTAACTAATGTGAAGAAATGCTAGAAGTCTTTTAAAAGGTTTTTACAAGAATGATAACAATATGACAAAAAGTGGAATTGAAACAAATACTATAAATGCTAGTGTCTAAGAAAAAAAAAGATGTAAAATAATAAATGTGGTGAAAATGTTGCAAAATAGTAAGAACAAAGGCATTGCTAGTATACCTGAAAAAATGATAAAATATGGATGTACTTTGTTTTTGGAGTTTTCAAAATAACTATGTGACTTGTTTAACATGAAGACTGTACCTGTGCCAGATGAAGGGATGCAATTATTGTAAATGGAAACAACAAATAAATGCAAAAAGCATAAGGAAACTAAGTGTGGCTGGGAATGCATTTGGCAGAATCCTGACTGAAATGTTAATGAGAGCTGACAAAACTGGGAAAGGGTAGCAAATTGCTTTATGCTGGGCAGAAGGCACAGACTAGAGTCTTGCTCTTCAGCAGTTCACTGAGTTAGTTTATTGCACTTCTATTTAGAAAAACTGTACAATAAAATGAATAGGCTTGAATTACAGAATCTTGCTTGAATATGGAGTTGCTGAATGTGATTTATTTAGATTTGGAAGGCTGCCCGACTTCCAAAAGATTCTGGGCAGCTCACATAGTGAAAAGGAGGGAAAAAACAACAATCAGATAAGAACCATATAGGATTACACACTTTTTCACAATAAAATGTTCAAATTAATGATAACGATCTAAACTATCTATAATAATATTCTCATTTCTCCAAATCTAATTCCTTCTCTTTAATTTCTTAAGCAGCAAATGTGGTAGTACTAGACTAGCTGAGAGAAATGGAGTATCTACAAAGTACTCCCTCACTCATCTCTTTTTTCTTAAGACTTCTACAGTAGAAATATCAGTAATTATACTGTGACTCTTACCCTAACTCAAACCTACCTGCATACAGTTGCAATATTTTGGGGGGGGGGGGAAGGCAAGCATCTCCCCAGCAACCAACTAACGCTAACCTTGTATTGAAGAAATGAGCTAAGGCTGCTGTTCTTAGAAGAACTTGCAGTAAACAGCCAAAACCAACAGAATATAGAGAAAACTGACAAACAAACAATGGCACAGATTCTGCCAGAATTTACAATTAAGTGAATAAACAGATACATTTTTAAGGATCTGGTCTGAAGAATATGATTACCTGGAATTACAAAGTGGTAAAATTTTTCCATCAGTTTCTGAAGAAGTTGATTGGCCTTTCTTATTCTTCCCCCACCATCACTAAGGAATTCTAATTTACTTATGCCAAGTTCAAGGAGATATATTCCAACCTGTGAATTAAATGTTCATGGGGAAAAAAAGTTTAGACAAATTGTAGAATATTCAACAAAATGAGGGAAAAGTAAATTTAATACAAATAATTAATATTTGTATTATTAATATACTAAATACTTCTGCTAAGGAATAAGCAAGGAAGAGTAGAAATAACACCACCACAATAAAAAAAAATTAAAATCATAGTGAGAACATTAAAGCTATCTTTCCAACCCAGTTTTCTTCAAATATACTAAACCAATTCTTAGAAGATTCAACCATCAAGACTAGTTGGAATATGAGACCTAACATCACATTTCATAACTAAAAGGATACCAGGTTAGAACAGGGTTCATTAAAGACAGTGAAAGTAATTTAACAGGTTAAATTATGATATATTTTAATACTTTCCCTAAAAATTGAAATCATAACTACTATCTGTGATTCTCAAGGAAATATATTCCAATTATTAGCTGCAGAGGAAGAGAAAGCTGCTTCCTATGTGCCCCCAAAACAGGCACATCCTATAATGAGGAGACTGAGCTTGAGAATCCTGGGTGAAGATAACTAAGGGCCAAACTACATGTAATGGAAGATACCCATAATTAAATCATCCAACAGAGTTATTGGTATATGTTCACAATACATTGAACCATAATCTAATCAAGTATTTGCATTTCCTTCTCCATGAGATGATAATGGAAAGCAGGAAAGCAGAGCAGGAAGAATAAATAAGCCCTTTCACAGCCTCAATGAAATGCAATGGTGGGTTGGGGGAAATTACAGAAAACATTGAGACAATAATTAACTCATGGATAATACATGGTTTGTTCCTACAGTTCAGAACTTTCTTTTTTAAAAAATGCCCTCATAATAAAATCTGCCAAATTAAAAAAAAAAATGTTGGGGATTTGGTAAAATAACTGTTTATAACAGTATGCTGTATCAAAAGCATTTCCTCTTTATAAGCTATTGCACCACTAACTGTGATTAGTTAGTAGCTTATATTTGTGACCTACCTTTGGCTATTTAACATTACACACACACAAACACACAATTTAATTTATTTAATAAAATCCAATTTACAGGTAAAGAATTCCTCAAATTTAGAGAAATAGGAAAGTTTTTTCATCTTATGAGTCTGGATACTGAGTTACAGAACTATTTGTATAGTTCCTGTATAGGGAGGAAATTTTAAATAAAAACAAAATGTAGACCGAACAGCAGCTTTAAACTTTCTCAGGGGAGAGTTTTATTTGTACATCCCAACAGAAAATTAAAAACATATGAAAACCATACTTTCTAAGATATGCTGGGCCAAGGCTTTTCATTATTTTAGTGGGCATCACTAACATTTTGTTCAGAGAAGCTAGTTAACAGGCACTGCAAAGGAATAAAATCTAGTAAAATCTATTTTGTATATAGAATAAATTGAGTTGAAGGAGAGATTCCTGTCTTTGATGCTAATATATTTTCCATGTACAGGTAAAACACATAAGTTTCAATATTCTGTTCAGGCACCCTTTCTATATATTCTCAATTTCAAATATACTCAACACTCAGCATGCCCTATTAATTACATAAATCAAATACCTTTAAATAGCGAGCATCTCCAGGTCTTTGATACAGTACAATTATTTTTTTCTTCTGCAGCCACATTAAATTTTCCAAAATTTCATTATTTAAAGATGATTCAACTAACACATCTACTTCATAAGTACTCTGTAATGATTCTTCCCCTTTGTCCACCTTTATAGTATCATTTGCATGGACAAGAATATGCAGATGATCACTAAATTCTGCTGTCATCAAGGTCAACCCCCTTTTCTGGATATTCTCATTTAAATACTGTTCAGGAAGAAGCTGAAGTGTAAATTCTCCAAGCAAGGTTTTCCAGGGAGGATCAGGATGATAAGGAAGTATCAAAATATTTAGCTGTATGGATATAGATGGCAATGGATGACAAGAATCTTCTGCTTCATCTATGAATGTTGAGAAGCTTGGGGATTTTAGATTCTTTTCTTTGTGAGTCAAGTCTTCATCCCCACTATCATCATTTATCACAACAAGTGCAGCAGAAGATGAACTTGTACCTGCAACAGGATGGTCTTCATCCACCACATCTAAATCTATCATTTCATTTTTCTGGTCATCATGCATATTCCAGCAGAGTTGCTTCTTTTTCTCTTCATTCATCCTCACGGGAGGAGCACGCTTTCGACGGCGACTCATTTTGATATTTCACTACTGCTAATCACTGTAACATAGATAATTACCAGTCAGGTTCCTGAATGAAGCATTATATTTTGATTTAATAAGAATCTAGAATATTAGTCAAATAACTATTTTAGATATAACATCAAATAAGAAACCTTGGCCCACTCCAGTCTTGTTCACTTTGGGGTTCAGCATCAGGACTTCCCATCCATGAAAGAACAAGTCTCAGATACTGACTCAGAGAAATTGCTCTTCAAAGCTGGAGGTCTTACTTTGACTTTTCAGAATGAACATATCCTATGATCTTTGGGACACTGCTTCAGAAAACATGAAAATGCATTCTCAAAAGTAATACATTAAAAATCTTTGGATTACATGTACTAATTTGATATTTATCTTTTCTAGCCACAATTTTAACTCCATAACCAATCCTAACAATACTATCTTCAATTGTGTGTGCGTGTGTGTGCGTGTGTGTGTGTTGGTATTTGAATACTAAGAAAATTTAGCCAAAAATGCATGCTTCTGCCTTTGCTTCTTTACCAGATCAGAAAAACACTAAACCTCATCAATCTTAGACATAATCACCATTTGTTTTTTGAAACAAAATGTTTAAGGGGCCATGTTTAAGGGATTACAGTGTGCTGGTTTCTTAGAGTTCCAATTCTTTGTTATATTTTCTTTTTCCATTTCTGTAATATTTCTTCCTAAAATTTAAAACTTCTTTCCTGAAGCTGACAAAACAACTATGAGATGCACATGTGTATTCCTAGAGCCTCCAATTCCTTGCTAATTTTTAAACCTTGTTTCTGTCATATTTTCCACACCAATTTTCAGTCTGTCTTTGCAACTTGTGACCTTATTTATTGGTTCAATTGGCTATCCACTCACCAGACAACTGAAGTCACTTACTTCAATTTTTTTAAGGAGGAGGAGTGCTGCTGAAAAGCACAATATGGGCTCAAACAACCGCTTTACTATTCTGCTTTGCATCAGTGATCTTGAAAGTCCTTGCTTCTATTTTGCCTTTTCTATGTATTAGGCTGCTACCCAAAACCCCAAAAAGAATAGGCTGAAGAGGCCACTTTGTAATGTTGTACAAGTCCAACCACCCCACCTTTGGCCTTTATTTCCATTACCTTCAAGTGCCCTTTAACATTAATCTGTATTGCAATCCTTGGCTCCACATATAGATAGCTTTACCTGAAGTTTGCTGCCTTGCCCCACTCCCTTGTGCGACTCTAATAATAGTAGTAGTTGCTTGTTTATTATGCACTCATAACTAAGTGCAGTACAGATACAGAATAAAACAATTGAAACAATAATGGAGTACAATTAATCATAACAGAGTACCAGCTAAACTAAAAAGTCCATAATGTAATAACCTTTACACATTTTAAATGAGGATGAGTATTAGATTTCTGCACCACATCTGAAGGGATGGGTAAGAATTTGCTTATTTCAAATCAACTTCATAGGGCCCCATGAAATAGAAGCTGCTGTCCTTCCATTGCACTGCAGGAATGCAAGAGCGCTGGCGCCGGGTGTACAGTAGAACACAAGGGAATATTTCCTATTTCCGCAAAGACTGAAGCAAGCTGGCAGGGGAGAACCGCTGGGAGATACGAAGACAACAGACGGCGGCGTGGGGGATGCAAAGCTTCGGGCCTGCTGCGAAGCACCAACGAGCGGAGAGGCGGGTGGAGGCACCAGGCGGAGGCGAAACGAGGCCAGAGCCCCTTCCGCCGAGAGATGCTCCTCGCTCCAACGTACCTGACGGTTCAACCAGCTTGCGCGAACCGCGCGGCTCCGCTCTGGATGTCCGTTCAGGAAACCGTGCCTGAGCCCGAAGCAGCAGAGCAACCGCCTCCGAACGGGCCGCCGCGGGAGGGAGAAGCGTGCCAGCAAGCGCCCCCCGCGGGGCACCGGCCAGCAAGGCTACGCCAACCGACAGCGAGCAAAGGTCCCCCGCGATCCCCGTCCCCACCGACTGGCGCGCGTGCGCTGGAGAAGTGACGCCACAGCGTCCGGGGCGTGTGCGCACGCGCTCGGCCGCCCAAGGGAATGTTGCCTTCTTTCGGGGAGGACGGAGCGAAACGCCGCGGTGGCTCCTCTCGGTTGGTGCTGTGGCAAAAGGTTTAGCTTGCGTCGGTTCCCTTTAAAAGATGGAGGCATCTCCAGGAAGAAGCCGCTTGTTCCGTGCGATTGTGCCATGTTCTTTACAGGGTAAAACGTAATAAAATGCTGTAGGTTTGGCTAACCCCGAAAAAACTAAACGTGATCGGACTTGGTTAATCTTTGGATGGGAGGCCGTGGAGAAATCCCAGGAGGAGAAACTGGACAAACATCGCAGAAGAAGGCGGTGCTAAATTACTTCCAAACCGTTGCTCCCCCATCTTCCCCAAAACATTCAAGCATAGACTCGTCAGGAATCTAGCTCGACCAGAGCAGTGTTTCTCAGCCTCAGCAACTTTAAGATGCGTGGACTTCACCTCCCAGAACTGCTGGCTGAGGAATTCTGGGAGTTGAAGTCCACACATCTTAAAGCCGCTGAGGTTGAAAAAACACTGGACTGGAGAGAAACTTTAACTTGGAGTCCTTGGGGTTCTCTGAGTTTGATTCTTTTCCTGCAAACGTTTCATTCCCCGGCTAGGTAACACTTTCAGTGCTGGAATGGGATGGGGTTTGCTCACTATTTATATGCTGTGGCCTGCCTTGCCAGTGCCAGTGG